GGAAGGGTGCTGCCAGCTCTGGGGTGAAGCGCATTCCTTTGGAGCCTGACCCCTGTCGCTGTTTTGTTCTGCAGACATGGAAGACAACTGCTCAGGGAAGGATCAGACCTATGTTGGCAGGCGTTCCAGCCGTGTTGTGCGCTCTCTCCAGAGCAGTAAGTAACTGAGCCCGTTTTTCTGTCGTTGCCTGAGCTGTTTCTGCTCCATGCCCTTTATGAATGACCTGGGTGTGGGCAGTAAAAAGCAGAACCTTGTATTGGGGCGTATCCTGCCAGTCACTGGCCTCTGTGGTTGGGGGGATATCAAAGCAACGGGGATTCAGGCACATGCTTCAAGGCTAGCACTTAAATTGTACTTTCCCAAGTGCAACAGAGATAACCCTTCAGCATGGTTATGCTTTGAGGAGCACAGATCTTATGAGTACCTCTCCCTGCTCTGAGGGTGCTGGTCAGCCAGAGCAGTTGCTGTGTGTGAAGTTCTTCAAACTTTCCTGTTTCACACCTTCACGGTGCAGAAAGCAGTGGGGTGGTGGTGCGGGGAAGTGCGGTAGGAAAGCTTTATTTGTGTTAGCGACCTGATCTGCTTTTTTTCAGCCCCATCCCTGCAGTCCCGGCATTGGGGGTCCCCCCAGCAGAGGGAGAAGTCGCAGAGCCAAAGAGCAGAGGAGATGAACCAGCCTCCCACCCCTCTAGGTCTCCAAGAAACCATCGCAGAATCCATCTACATTACCCGTCCTCTGCTCCACCGTATCCTGCCCTGGCTGCAAGCCGGCTCAGCCATACCCCGGGTGCCGGCAGAGGGTGCTGCCGCTCAGTCCTGGTGCAGCGCAGTGCCACACAGGCTTCTCCTTCCCCGCCGCTGCTCTGCTTAGGCGGGAGCATTGGGACTCCTCCCTGCTCTTATGCCTTGATGGCCACGGGAGTTGTGGGGGCAAGTCCTCCAGCCCCTTTCCTGGGCCCCCCGCACTGCCTTAGAGCGTATCCTCCTGGGCTCAGCAGAGCTTTGCTGGTACCCACGGGATCGCTTGTCTGCGTGCCTCGTTAGGCATCTCTAGTTCTTTCTGTTCCTTGACTGTGTGTTCCTAGTATTGAGTTTAGGAGTGTGGGGCCAGAGATCGTGGAAACCCTGGCTCCTCTCAGCAGTTCTGGACATCTCTAGGTCAGTCTGAGGAAGAGTCTGTGGGTGGTTGAGGTTGGTGGTGGCTGAGCATCACACTTCCACCTGCTCCCCAATCCAGGGCAGGCCCTACTGAGAGAAATAAGCACAGGGGCTGGGCCTGGTCTTAGCTGGGAGATTGACACATTTAGGTATCTTCTACAACACTTAGCGCTTTCTGTTCTGAGCTGGTGCAGCCCGCTCTATGTGGAGCTGAGAACAGAGGACATTTAGAAACCCACTTTCTTTTCCCTGCTGGCTGCTGTTGCCATGAGTTAGTTCTCTGTCCTTCTCCTTCCAGTCTGAGTTTGCTGAGTGATCTGAAAGACCTGAACAGGCGAGAGCGAGCAGAGCTGAGGCGACGAACCATCCTTCTGCTGTACTATCTGCTGAGATCTCCTTTCTATGACCGATATTCAGAGTAAGGGGCCCCTGCTGGGCTTTTGCTGAAAATTTTTCCTTTAACAGAAATAGCGTCAGGGGACTGGGTGAGTAGGTCTGAAGAGGTCTGGGTGCCTGTAACCAGGTTAATCTGAGCCCTTGTGTAATAGCTGCCATTGCTGTTCGTGCATTTAACAGCTGGGGCAGGAGGTGTCCCACTGGACTTGTTCATACCTTCTCCCTTCCTAGGGGCAGGATCCTCCTCCTTCTGCGCTTGTTGGCTGATTACGTGCCTGGAGTTGGCTTTGTCACACGTAAGTGGGCCCTACTGCTATATCCCTGTTTCTGTTTGGTGGAGAAAAATCAAGGGAGTTGGGCGGAACTTTTGTCAATTGGTTTCCAACCTGAGGAATTGGCAAGTCCCTGGAATGGTTAGCACCAGTGCATCCTGTATTGATGCTTGTGTTGTTTAAACTGGAACAGGAAAGGATTAATTGCTTCCTGGCTATTAGGGGACCAGTGCTCAGCCACAGTGGTAAACTTCCCTGTGCCCTTCCGGGCTGCAGAGCTTGGTCTCTGCCACCTCAGCCTGTTCTTCTGGGCTCCCTTTCTGCACCTCAGCTGGTGCACCAGAGCTCTGCTTTGCAGCCCATTTTTGAACTCTTTTTCTTGATCCCCAGTCTGCAGTGCAGACACGAGGAGTAAACAGGTGCCTAGAGTTATTGACCCAGCCAGAAGCCGATTGTAAATCAAAGGGCTGAACCAGGTCTGTCTTCTAGTCCTTCACCAGAGGATCCCTTTATTATGGGCCAGAATTCCACCTCCCCCCGTTCCCTGCTGATGTGAAGCCTTTTGCGGAGTGATTCGTTGCAGTAATGTGGCATTAGATCAGCCTTGCATTGTGGGATTGTTGTTTCTTTGGGGAGTTCACAAAGCTGGCCAGCTCAGGAGCCGCTTCTTCCAATTAATGATTTTGGAGAGGCTTTGGAGCCTGCATTGAGCCATGTGCTACATAAGCATTTTCACTCTCCAGCAGTTGCTTCTGTCTGCACCTGCTTGTTATTGCTGAGTTGTCTTCCCTCTTTCCTGTGCCACAGCACTGTCCTCCTGAGTCACCGCATGCAGGTTTTCCCCTTGCACACTGTAGAACCCCCTTCCCACTAGTGTTTGGATGTGTCAGCTCTGAGGGGGTGGTGTCCCACACCGTGGCCGTGCTGACCGTGTTTCATGCCCTGCTCGATCCTGCTCTTATCCCTGGCACCACATCCCAAAGTTGTCTCATATCTTGGCAAAAATAACTGTTTGAATCTTGGGTTCATCTGGGTTGTATAACTGGAGATGTGGGATCATTGGGTATCGTAACAAGGGGGATATACCCCGTATACATACAGCTTCAAATTCTTGCCTTTCTACATGCATGATCCCTCTGTTCTCTTGTTTCAGGGCCACTGATGGATTACTTGCCTGCTTGGCAGAAAATCTATTTCTATAACTGGGGCTGATGAGAAGACGACGATTATTCTCTGCCAAGATCATGGCTGGACATTTCTAAGGAGGGCAAGCAGGCTGGGGGAGGGATGTTGATAATGTCTATTTTTTGGTTAAACCATCAATGAGAAGCTTCCGTTCTGCAGGGTGGGGAGGGGGGTGTATGTAACTTTTTTTATCAGATCAGTCTGTGAATGATGGACATTACATGTGTGGAGAGACCCTGGCCACCTCTTTGGACAGTTCTGTGGCTGCAGCGATGGTGACGGGACAACCTCTCTTTTTTTAAGCACTTGATTTTTCTCCTTTTGTACGGCTGCGTAGTGTTTTTTGGAGAGCATTGTCTCCCACCTCACGGCGCTGAGACTGACCTGCAGCCTGCTTGTGTTGGCCGTGCCTGGCCGATCTGCTTGGAGCGGGCTTGTCTGTCAAATAAACTGACTGAACGGAAAGAACCGAGCTGAAGGAGCTCTCTTCCCCTGTTTGCCTGGGATCCCCTCGTAGCTGGTTGCCAGCAGGTCTCTCCCTCAGGAAGAGCAGCTTTCGCAGTTGCCCGTGCTGGGAGATGCTGTTGTCCCTTAGAAGCCTTTTGCTCTGGCCTGTGTCAGGCGGGGCCCCACACGTTGCTCAGCTGATGACTGTGGTGGCTGTGACTCCAGGTGCCTGCTTCAGTCCCCAGTTTCCTGGGGTTCCCCTGGGGGTATGGGGAGCTGCAGTTGCAGGCTGCTGGTTGCAGAATGGCTGCCAGCTGGTGCTTGGGGGGCTTGGCCAAGGGCAGAGGAGAAATTATGAGATTAATTCAGCAAATACCGCTGTGCCACACTTCATAAAGGGCCCAGGAGAGGCCTGGACAGCCATGGCCATCTTTTTGTATCTGCTAACTGGTGGACAGTTGAGGCATCAGTCTGCTCAGTGAGCTGCTGTGGGGGCTCCCTTGGCCAGGAGAAAGGGCTTGCCAGCTGGCAGTGGCTGTCCCGCAGGCAGCTGCCAGCCCTGGGAGCTGGAAGCTGCCAGGTGTGTTGCTCTCAAGTGGGTGACAGGAGCATTCCTACCTCAGCCATCCTTGAGGGATTCTGGGGCACAGCCTTCCTGCCTCAGCACCTGAAATAGGGGATGTACCTCCATACCCCCCCCCCCAATGGGTCACCGCAGCAGGGGAGCACAGGGTTTTGGTAGCATGTGGGGTCTGTGTTGCCACCTCAGCTGGTAGCAACGCCCTGTAACCCAGCAGCAGCATGGAAAAGCCACGAGTGAGGGACTGCTCCCTGTGTTTGGGCTTTTAAGCAGAGGAAGATGCTGAAGGCTGCAAAGCCTGGAAAGTGTTGGGGGGGTCCACTCCTGGGGACAGGGAAGTAGTGAGGTGAAGGGGTTTGCTTTTGGAGAGGTTGAGAGAGAGGTGAAGGGTGGTGGTGAGACACAGGGAAGCAGCCCTGGAGCTGTGGCTGCGTGGAGGCGTGTGCACCCTGTGCAGGGAGGGCTGCGAGCAGCTGGCATGGCCTGGATGGGACCAGGCAGCCCAGGACCAGAAGCTCACCTACTGGGAGGGGGGAGGCAGGGA